CCGGCAAAGGGGAAGCCCAACCTAAAGGTGGCCTAAGGATGTAGCTTGTGCGGTTGGGCCAGGCTTGACGACAAAGGAAGGGCAACAGTCAAGAGGGTACGGAGGGGGACAGGAAGTTGGGTCATGCGCCTCGGATCTCGGTTTAGTGTGTCATAGTGTCAGGGCGCCTGGCAAGGGGGAAGTACAAGGCATTTAATAGTCTGATGACGTGGGGCGGATTTGGGGGGCAGTGGTCGACCCTACCCTGGGTATAAATAGCAAAGTGGGTGGAGCTCATTTACTCGGGTTAGAACTTCTCTCTAGAAACTACACTTCACTTCTCTCTCTAAAATGATTGTCCTAACTTGGGCGTCGGAGTGCTAACGAGCCCTAAAGAAGGGGGCTCGGTGGGCGCCTTCGTGTGTTGGGTTGAGGTGCGCAGTTGGAGCTAGGCAGGAGAAGCAGTGGCGCATTGACCACCGGCGGTGCAGTGTTACGTGGCACAAACACTAGCTTTAACTCATGATTGGGTCATTTTGACCTAGGTGGAAAGAATCTTCTTGTTGAAAGAGGTTTTGAGAAGATGGATTCTTGGCTAATTTGTGTCACCCACCTAGGAAAATTAAGACAAACCTTAAATTAATCATGATTTGTGAGTGTTGCTTGCATTATATCATTGTTGGGTCAAAATTAACCTATAAGGTGGAAATCCCCCTTTGGCCCATAAGGAGCTTTACCTCCTAGCCTCTTGGGTAACCCCTTCTTGGTTAATCTAGGGCCAAAACCTCAATTATCGGAGTAGTACCATGATCCCACCATGATTGGTTTCTCTCTGTCGTCCGGATTAAGTTCAAAGGGATTGGTTTGCAATCCTTAGTCGACCGGTTTAGAGGGGCTAGATCATCTAGCCTAGAGTTGAAATCATTAAATGAAAGTTTAAGAGAGTTAGACCACTAAATTGATGCAACAATCCTAAATTGGTCATCTAAGAGAGTTAGGTTTCCTTGGTTGATAGGTTGAGAGTGGTAGATTCCCTAGCTTCTTGTCACTAACCTTAATCGATCAACTAGGAGAGTTTGCCCCTAGCTAGTTGCACCTACCACACGGTATATGAACACATCCTTCACACTAGAGTTTCGTTCATGCTTTCTTAATATGATACTAGGGAAGCAATACCCAAGTGAAGTCCTCTCAAGTAGAGTTCTACTCGATTTACTTTGCTTGTTTTCATTTGTAGTTTTTCTTAGTTTTAAACACAAAACCAATTGCTAGATAACAACTTAAGCGATTGAAGTAGGGGTACATGGACCGGTCTGGGTTTGACATTTAAACATACTTTCTCTATATTGCGCCCGGTTAAGGTTTATACTTGGGCTTTAATTGAGATTTTTATTGTGACATTTGAGACGAGTCAAGTTTTAGGCTCGGTTGTCGGAGAACCCACTGATTGAGAACCGTGATTTCGGGACAAAACACGCCGCATCAATAATTCAGTACACGATTTGCGGCTTAATTTCACAGTCTTGAGTCCAGTGAGAGCAAAAATGTCCCTGGATGCCTGGCGGTTCACGATTTGCGGCTCCAATTCACGGTTTCCCTGACCCACTCACTGCTTCCACCGTGATCTGCTATTGCTTCCATCCTTTGACAGTTTGACCCCATTTTACGTCTTTTCGTCCAACTTTCGACCGTGGGGTTGGTTCCACCTGCTATAGATTGAAATGCACAAAACAAGACAAAACCCAACGTAAAACCAAACCTTCAGGAGTAAAAATTCCTCAAACGACTAAGGAAACTGGGGGTAAGAAGTGTACAATTAAGCTCGAATCACCCATGGTCCATTATTTTGAAAAAGTTGCTTACTGTTACTCTAGAATTTTCTATCTTGTCTTTTCTTTTGTTTAGTGTTTTATCTTATTTGTGATGCAGAGTTGAGTCATGGATCGCGACAGCTTCTCCTCCATGTGGGGTTATCCACCAACACCCGAATGGTGTTACCCCAAGCCAACATGGTGCTATCAAGAAGGAGAAGAGTACGGATCCGGGTCGACTACCAACTACCTTTGCATGATGAGCAACTATATCCCCCGGATGCTCAAGATTTCCAACCATACTATGAAGACTATCCTCCACAACAAGAAGTGAAAAGCCAATTGAAGCTATTGGTGGAGAAGTTTGCATTGGAAAATGAGCAATCATACTCCGAACGGGCCTTTCCAACATTAGATCCACCTCACTCAAATTTCCTCTATGAAGCAGAGGAAATACACAAGAGCACGAATAAGCTAAATGCGATGGTCGAAGAAGCTTGAGCACGTTCACTCAAGACCGGCTCTTGGCGGTTGGTGAAGAAAAGGAAGATGAAGAGGCAAGCCTCGAGGATGAATTGGAACGGTGGAAAGTTGTCATGGTCTCATGGATGGCCACCGTGATGCTCAAAACTTGGAATGTCCTCTTGAGGTGGCAACCACTCTTCCACATTACATTCCAAGAGTTGAAGAGGAGGATCTTAATGAGGACATGAGGGTCGAGTCAATCGAAGATGTCTCTTAGAAACTCGCTATCTAACGCTTGCTTGTGGAAGAGCGAGGGAAGATTAGGAAAGATGTTGTGGGGGAGGTAGAAGCAAACAAAGACGAGTTTCTTGAGGATCCACAATAGGAGGAATGTGAAGAAGGAAAGGAGTTGGAGGTAGCAATTGGTTTTCATGCTAAGGAAGATGTCTTGGTGGAAGAGGCTTGCATCGGCCATGAGATTATTCAGAAATCTCAACCAAACTTTGAGGAGTTCCTTAGCAAGGATCCATTTGTGGCTCTTTGCATAGCCAAGGCCAAACCATCGATGATACCTCTTGGTGGATGCGATGGAAGTCGATCGAGGTTTCATTACATGGTATGGGGCAAAGAGAAAGAAGAAGGAAAGAAGAAGATGTCTCGTGGGTGGATCCTCAAAGGCATTCAAGTTCTGAGCCCTCAATTAGTGGCGGACCCAGGAATTTTACATAGGTGTGTCCCCTTATAAAAAATAGATTAAATAAAAATAATTCTTAAATAATTAATATAAATTAAATTAATTCTTAAATAAGAAAATTCATGACTCGTATAACTTAAATAAAAGGATTAAAATATTTGTATGGCCCGAATTTTTTCACAAAATAAACGTCCTTGCCAATCTTTTTAATCTATAACTTCATGGTCTCAACTATGCATCAAAGTTTCGAAATTGGCAAAACCCGAGATATGACCATTATCTTGGACGGTCAACGCGCCACGTCACTGCCAAGTTAGCACATACCACTTAAAAAATTTGGTTTTTTCCCACCTATTACCATTTTATCTTTTTTATTTTGAACGAAATAAGAAAAAAAAGGAAAATAAATTTAAAAATGTGGAGTCCCAAAATTTTTAAATGGTAATTGGTGGAAAACCCAGTTTTTTTAAATGATCTATGATGACTTGGTAGTGACGCGGCGCGTTTGACTGTCTAAGATAACGGTCAAATCTCGGGTTTGACCAATTTCGTAACTTTGAAGCATAGTTGAGGCCACAAAGTTATAGATCAAAAAGATTGGTCAGGATGTTTAATTTGTGAAAATTTTGGGTCATACAAATATATTAACCCTAAAAAAAAATCCATTATCTGTTTTCATATTTGGAAATAATTGTAGAATACAGTTGGTGCGTACACTGCTCAAAAAAATTGTCTCTGTATATCCATTAAGCTACAAGTGTACAACTAATTTGTTGTTCGATTTTAAACACTATGTAACAGTAAAATGCCATTCCCTGTCTCTAATTATTTTTGAAACCTAACAATAACAAATTTTAAACCTAGGACACTATTATAATTAGGAACTAAATAGAAAATAAAAGTATGTTACATAGTTGAGGCTAGAAGAGCAATTTCTGATACCACTGGCCAAAGTAGAAAGTTTGTCTACAGTTCAGGCCAAACAAAAGTATTAACCCTAATAATAATGTCCTAAAAGATGAGATTAGGATAATCATTTTTTCAAATTTCAGGGGTGTAAGAAGCGATGCTCTGTCCTTATCAATATTTAGGATAATCGTTCCCCGCATTGGATGCCTTTTGTTCTTATCAATATTTTGGCTGTTTTCACAGCATTACCAGGCCATTGACAAGCAAGACACCATGTCAATTGAACCCATGGATGCGGATAAGATTGTGGAATCCGAACTGGAGGACGTTGAAGAAAGCAGGAGGAGAGCGAAATTGAGCCTGATTGGAAGACTATTTATGGAGACACTCCAAGCTCGAAAACAATCCAGAGGATCGTCTTTGGAAAGTGATCCTGCTCCGGGAAAGTCACAGCCAGTGGCGGACCCAGAAATTTTACATAGGGGTGTCCTCTTTTAAAAAATAAATTAAATATAAATAATTCTAAAATAATTAATAAAAATAAATAATATTTAAATAAGAAATACTTTACTCATACAGTTTGAAAAAATTCACAATGTGTTTTCATATTAAAAAATGATTGTAGAACACACTTGGGGGTACACTATTAAAAAAAAAATTGTCTCTGTATATCATATTAGACAATCATTCACGAACTGATCACATATTCAATTTCTAAACTTGTTCTTGATGTAATCCAAAGCTGAAAAAACTCTTTCAATACTTGTTGTACAACCATAAATCAATACAAATTAAGGGTAGCTTGAAATTTGTTTAATTGTTAGATTTTGAAAACAATTAGAGATAGAGAATGACATTATACTATTACACAGTGTTTAAAATCGAATAACATATGAGTTGTAGCCTAATGAAAATTAGGTTTATTAATAATAAAAGTGTCCTATGTTTGAATTACCCAAACTACTACTTATATTCTTATACTCAAACTAAAAGATGAGAGTAGGATAATCACTTTTTTAAATTTAGGGGTGTCCCCGACTATCAATTATAATTTTTTTGTCAATACGTAAATTACTACCGGGGGTTGGATAATCGCTTTCCCAAAATTTAGGGGTGTCCGGGGACACCCCTAAACACCCGTCGGTCCGCCCCTGGTCACAGCCATGGAGGCTGAACTGAGACTCCTTCAATTCTTATTCGAGGATGAGAAAGATAGGGACTGGGTTATCCACCAAACCCCATGGCATATCAAGGACAGGATTCTCCAGCTTCAGTCCTGGGAGGCGGTCACTCCAGCAATGGTGGAATCATTGGGAAGTGCTCCATTTTGGGTAAATATTTGGGGAATCCCCTCACATTGTCGTACTGTCGCCTTTGGTCGTCGTATGCCAGAGGCGAAATTGGGAGAAGTCTTGGATGCTGGTCTCTTTGGAATCAACGGCATGTCGGGTCATTTTGTGAAGGTTATGGTGAATATAAACTTGCTGGAGCCCCTACGTTCACAATTATTTGCCAGCAACCCAACTGTTGGTAAATTCTGGTTTACTCTGGTATACAAGCATTTTCCCTTGTATTGTTATCACTGCGGTAGGTTTGGAGACACGAGTCAGAACTGTGTGTTTCAACCTCCGTCAGGGAAGGAGTATTTCAGAGCGGGGCTGACCACAAAATAATTGGGTTACAGGTTAAATGAAAACCTTATACCCTGTCATGGAGCCCCGTTGCAGAAAACATTTTAGGTGAACTCGGTGACTCAAGGAAAGAAAAGAACTGGAGATGGGGTTAAGCTTGGGGAGTCATCAGCAAGAGAAGGGTCTATGGTGCTGGCTCTAGCGGCAGAGAAAGGAAAGGGTGCGATGGAGAGCCAGAAAGTGGCAGGGTCTCGTGAGGTTGCTGGGAAGATGACTGATGATAAGGGGTGACATAAGGCTTCCCAAATTGCTTTATGCCCTCTACGGACTCACATGAAAATGGTGGAGGCTTGGAGTAGGAACCTTACGCCTGCATCAAACCCCTCACAAGTTTTGGCAATGATGAATCACAGATTGCTTCGCCATCCTAACATAATTCGCTTTAAGGAGGTTCCTTGCCCAGCAATCACTCTCCAATCTCTGCATTTTGTTTTCTTTGGTGCAATTTTGAACTACATTAGTGTTTTAATTGCCTTTTTCCTTTTGAGGGTGTGTAATTTTGCTGCAGGTCCTCACTCCAACCCATCTATCTATGCGTCATGGAGTATGCTGCTGGTGGGGAGCTGTTTGGTGATATTGTAGGTTCTTTCATTTTCTCCTCGCACGTATACTTAATTTGCTTAGTTACAACGGTATGTCGTTGGAGCTAATGTTGGGGTGTTGGGGGAATTCGGGGTGCTTGCACTTGGCTATTTCATCTTAAGGAAATCAATTCCATCCAACAAATGATTTCATTTTTAGTAAGCATGCCTATATGTGTGATGATCATTCAAGGACTTTTTTTTAAGGGAATGCTACTCATTTGATGGCCATCAATTGTCAGAGTCAAGCAACAATGTGCGTCAAACATTAGTAGAAAAATCACTTTATTGAGCTACACAAAATAGTTGATACCGCTACCAACTTTACGGACTCAAAGAGTTGGGATAAGAGGATTTGGACCTATATACAAACTTGATTTACATTGCTGTAAACTGATGAGAACCACAAATGTTTCCTGTTGCGTTGTTAAACTTTATATATTGATCGTAGTATTTATTCTGTCATTCTAATTATTTAGGGTGTAATGATAGACAGACAAGTGATTGTCAAGAGCCTATCAAGCAATTCTGGCCGACAATTAAAGTATATGATCTTTTCTTCATGCAACCGTCAGCTGGATATAATCTTTCTACTATGATCATGTTTTCTCCAGGTATTTTGTGGTTCTTTTCAGTTATCTATATATCAGATTTGTCTGCTTTTTGTGAACAACAACATGCTTTCTGTCAATGTTTACTTATCTTTCCTTGCTATCTGCTCTGAAATTCTTCCATTCTGTCTTTGTTTGTACTTGAGATAGAACCTACAAATTAATACCAACCCTCATATGTTATTTGTTTCATAATTAAGGATCTGATGAGATTACGCAAGCGAGCCAAGAAGAAGATGAAAAATTCAGACAAAAGAAAGAAGCAAATTAGAGGAAAGCCATGGTAGTTCTTACATAGTTGAAACAAGAAGTTATGAAGTAGGAATAAAATTTCAATTTCTAAATCTTCATCCTTCCTTAGATTTGTTAGATTATTTATTGGCATTGGTCACACCGATTTGCTTTTCCTTTAAGGCATTAGCTACACGCTTGACCTATTTTCGTTGTTGTAACAAATTAGTGCTTTAGCGATTCCTGATTTTTTGTGGTTCTTATTTTTGTGGTTTTGTTTACTTTTATGTATTCTTGAGGTTGGATAGACATCAGGTCTTCATAATTTGTTGTTCCACTGTAATTTGCTTTCTAAATATGCATGGAATTATAGGAGTTACCTAAGAATTCGATGGAAACAATTTTAGATCCCAAATTTGTTGATGCCGCCTCATTTGTTTGTGGAAACTACATATTCAGCATGATTTATGTCCCTTACCCAAAGGAGTTTGACATGATTTGATGATCTTTCTAGCATATGTAATAACATGCTCAATGTGCATATTTAGTTCTTCAATTTAATATCCTGCTCAATGTAGCTCAACCGAGCTATAGGATTCTTTGCCTCATTTGTCACTCAAAGGTGTATACTGCACTCCCGTAGATGAATTGGAGTCTTTGAGTTAATGAATTTTGTGCTCTATTTTCTAATTTACACTAGCTGAAGCATCAAATTTTTTGTTCTGGATGAGAAATGGATCCGTTTAGAAGTTTGTAAAATCATTCAATGTGCCGATGAGATGCTATCAAACATAAAAAAAAGGTTTCTAAAGATGCTATCACAAAGGGGAGCTTCATTTCCATCCTTTTCTCTTTCTCATTAATTAGCTGTGGCATAGGTTTAGATGGTTGCAGGAAATTATTAATGCCCTGTGTATTACAGTTTGTTTAGTCACAAAATCACTTTGCCGTTGAATTGTTTGCATCTATCTCTCTTTCAGGTCGAAGATATGATCGATCTTCTTTTGTTTTAGTGTTGTTGCACTTTCTTTATCCTGCTATCATAATTCCCACAAAAATGCTAGAGTCTTCTGTGATGTGTGTGCATTTCAGAAAAGAGTTAACTTGCTTCTGACCAGTATGTTTGTTCCTCTTTCTTTACATTGTCAGCTTCCCACTCTTACATATATAATGTTACTGATAATCTGATATACGTTCTCCTTGCTTCAGGCACTTGCCTGTCACCTCCTGCTGATTTCCCTGTATCTGTGACTGTGAGCTAGAGCGTGTTCGTAGCAGGGACCAAAAAATTACGCCAATCAAACACATATTGTGGTCATGGCCATTCAAGTAGTTCTCCAGTTAATGATTTGGTTATGGCCGTTCAAGAGCAACATAATTGTGCTATAAGGAAATTACAAAGTCATAGGTGCATTCGAGGAGTTTTGGAGGTTTACAATTGGTTGTCCAATTTGTCGTTATCAAGACTGGTCACAATGCGATTATGTTGCCATAAGTTTAGTTCTCGTAGCAGCGGTTATTGATTCAAGTATCTTATTGATTTTTAACTCTTAAATCATTTACACTTTCGTTGGTTACCTTACCTTTTTAACTCAACCAACACACCAAGGGTGGTGGAATTAACTAGTAGAGTACAAAGGGAAAGAAAAAGGCTTGTCGAGCTCTCCTTCCCCTCACTCACGCACAATACAAGGAACAAACACTATGTTCGAACTGAATCCAAAACCCACAATACAAACACAAAAGGCAAAAAAAAAAAAAAAAATGAAGAAGAGAATGAGAACACATAGAAATTGCAGGAACAAAACAAGAATGCCCTCCTTATTCGAATATCCGGTGGGAAACTAACCTCCAATGGCATAAACTAACAAAGGTTAAGCACGCAAAACTTCCACTACTGGCCTTTGTTCCAGTACGGAGCAGTGAATCGAGTTCTCGACTAAAGTAGTTGATTCACCACTTTCAATTAAAGGTTGCTCTTTTAATCTATGTAGAGACTATCGTTCTAGGTTAAAGCTGGAATAACACACGTTTGATCAGGACTCATGCAATTATGAATAATTCCTCAACTAAATTTATCAATCGTTCACAACACGTGGTTCACATAATCATTCCTAACATACAGAGCTAGGGTTCTTCATACCCAGATGAAATGAAAAATTACTCCATGGAGAAATGTGAGAACGTCATGCTCGGAGTAGACATCATTAGAACGACAATGGGCAACTGCTCCTGATGGCTAATCGGTACTCCGAGGTTAGGGAATCAAGGTCCGAGGACTTCAGATCTCCCCAATCCTTGCCCAAGGGTTCTCTTCGTCACTACCTCACTAGGGTTCTTTTCTGCCTTTAGAAGTCCAAAAATCGAGATCCTTTGTAAATTTTCCGAGCAGCCTTTAAATAGGCTGAGAATCCGCGAGTTACGGCCGAAGTTACAGCCGAATGCCCCATGGGATGCTCTTGCACGAACAATCTCAGATAATACAAACCATCAATGTGCTTACCCCATCGACCTGCTCTGCTTGAGGAGAAGGGCGTGTTCCACGATCATTCTTGTGTAGAGGTGGAGTTTGCTCCCCCTTGTCCCCACTGCGAGGCGGAAATCCAATCAAACAATAGCAGGTTTCTCGAAGATGCCCAGTACGACGGCAGTGAGTACATCTAGGTTTGTCATCGGCATCCCGTTCTCTATCTTGGCCGCGCTCCGGCTGCGACGACGAGTGATCGGGTCGTCTCTCCCGTTGAGTTTGGAAAACAACGGCCTCAGGACGTGGACGACGACTACTAGCTATTTGTCGCTACTGTTCATCCATGGTAACTAGCCTATATGCTTCGGCAAGAGTAGGCATTGGTTTCACCGCTAAAATCTGTGATTTCACTGTGGAGAATACCTCATCCTAGCCCATTAGAAAGTCAAACAAGCGCTCCCCTTCGCGAACTTCACTCTGGCGCTTCCTGACATCACAGGTGCACCTAGAACAGGTGCATTCCAGGGAAGGTGTCAATGACTCAATTTCGTCCAATAATCCCCGCAATTTTGTATAAAATTGTGAGACAGAAGTCTTCTCTTGCTGAAGGCAATTGATAGTGTGCTTCATTTCATACAAGCGCGGGGCACTCCCTTGGCCATACATGGATTGTAGATAACCCAAATCTCTCGTGCAGTAGAGGCGAAATAAATGCTGTTGCGTACCTCTTTTGTCATGGATGTTTTCAACCATCCTTTTACCATGCCATTGCAGCGGCGGATAGCCTCACTTTCAACTTGATTTACGGCGATGGGCAGACTACCATCGACGAATTAAATCTTGTTCTTGGCGATCAGCGAAATGATGATGTCCGTGATCCATGACAAACAGATTGCCAGGGCTATCAGAAAGATCCAACTGTAGGTGCGAGGGAAGGGACATCTGTGCTTTGGCATCAATACCCTTAACCATCTTCAACTTCTCGCTAGACTCTTCGTCACCCATGATGAAAATCGTAGGATCTTAGCATAGCTCTGATACCATGTAAAATTCCAAAAGAATAGAAAAGCAGAAAAGAACACAAGACCGGTTCTACGTGGTTTCCCCGTTTGATATGAACGAGACTAGTCCACGGAGAGCTGGAAGCTCTCGATTTATTTTAGGGTTTAATATATTTGTATGTCTGAACTTTGCACATAATAAACATCCTGGCCAATCTTTTCGATCTATAACATCCTGGCCCAAACTATACATCAAAGTTACTAAATTGGCCAAAACCCGATGTTTGACCGTTATCTTTGACTGTCAAACGCGTTGACTAACGGTCAACGCGCCACATCATTGCCAAGTCAGCACCTTTCACTTAAAAAATTAAATTATTTTCAACCTATTATCATTTTTATTTTTCATTTTGAACCAAAAAATAAATAAAGGAAAAAGTTATTTTGTGTCCCCTTATATCTCCCATAATTTTTTAAATAATTTTTTTAAAATTCCATCATTTATTTTCAGCGATTTCAAATTAATCTTCTACATAATACCCACTGTAACGCACCAACTTTTTGGTTTAGGTTCGACCATAGTTAATGAACGATGGAATCGACAGTTACATACAAAAGATTCCGATAGTGAATTAGGAATAATAATAATATTATTATTAATAAACAATCATTATTTATTATTAAAAAAAGGGTTTTCCTCACCCGTTACTTCCCCCATCGGTTACCATCCCTTTAACACCCATGTAATTAACCCCGTACCCCATAATAAACAGCCACCATCACTTTTCATCCCATCATCACAGTCCTCATACGATCGGGAGGAGAAGGTGGAAAGACGAAAAGGAAGAAAGGGAGAGCGGCCGCCCAAATCCTCTTCCGAGCTCGACCAAACTGTAACACCCTGACATTTGAGTTCAGGTTCGATCATGATAAATTATCGATTGGATAGACAATTACGTACGAATGGTTACAATTGCGAATTAGGATTAATAATAATAATAACATATTATTATTATTATTAGTAAAACAAAACAAAACAAAAAAAAAAAAAAGATAAACCACGTCACCCCACCCCACCTGTACACCACCCCACCTCTCCCTCTCTTTACCGTTACCTTCCAGTTAATCCCCACCCTTTCCAAGCATAATTGATTGATCTCATTTACACCATTTATCAACTCACCCACCAACAATCCATTTACACTGCCATTTCCCTTATCCCATCAGACCCGTGAAACACCATAATGAAAGACAGCTAGCTAGACAACCCATGACAGCTACCTCCCACTCCCTGAGCGCCCTTAGTCCTTAAATTAAATCCAAGGAAAAGAGTGGGGAAAGCCACGCTTGTTCCAATCCAGCAAAATACACCACTACACCCCATTTTCCCTTGACGTAAACGCAGACCAAAATAGAGCAGCCTCTTCTTTCGCCGCTCGGTTTTCGGACTACTCGGATCTCTCACTCCATCTCATTCTCATCTCCTCACCGCCACGACTGGTTCTCAGCACCACCACCTCGTCCTCCCATCATCATCGAATTCCCTCCCTTCTCGTTGCTTTCGCCCGCCAACGTCTCATCGTCGCCATCATCGCCAGCAAAGGAGGAGGACACAACCAGTAGCTTCCTTCTTCGTAAACTTCCACTCTTTCACAGTAACTAGGTAAGAACGATGACTTCGTAGCTCTCGTCAAGCGTCAAAGCTACGTAATTAACTAACCAAGGTTGTCCCTACTTCGACGTAACTTTGACGGCATAGGTACGTACGGGGTGATCGAACGACGTTCAAAAATTGAGAAAGGAGGGATTCTGAGCACTGGGTTTTGGTCGGGAGAAGGTCAGAAATCGTTCCACAGAGTCAGAATCCAAGTTAGTGGTCGTTTGGTGGTTCGTCGGAGCTTCATCGGCGTCTCGCCGAAGTGTCGCCGGATTCTGGAAAAAAATCAACTTCGACCAAACTTCAAAAGGTGGATACGGTCGCGTAGAGGGCGATCTCAGGAGCGTCACGGTGTCGACGAAATCAAATTCGGACGTCGGATGAGGGAGAACCGAGTCTCCCAAGTTTGAGGAAGAACATGTCAACCATCAGGTACCATTCGTGGAAATTCGAAAAAGTTGGAGGATTAAATGTGTAGTTTTTCCAGCAGGTCGTGGTCAACTGTGTTGACTGGAAAATATCAGTTGCGGTACTTGATACTTCTAAACTGACAGAATATTTATTTTGGCCATAACTCGATCAATAGACGTCCGATCGAGGAACCGTCTGCGCTCACGGAATCGTAGAAGCGAGGGGAATGTTATAGGAGGGAGTTTGGAATTTTCATAGTCTGAGCAGAGTCATCTTTTCGAGGTGAGTGGTTTAAGGGGGTAAATTCTACGCCTTACGTATTTTCAAGTATTTGACTTACGAGTTTTAAGTATGCGTGTTCATGTGAATTGTATGTCAGTGATTGATTTATGTCGTGATTGATAAAGCATGTTTTATTTGATATATTATCTGAGATGCTCTATTTGAGTTATGATTATGAAGTATATGATTATTTTAGCTTTCGGTATTTAGTTGAAGCTTTTATATTATGTTTATTTAATGAAGGTCGGTTGATCTTTAAGGATCAACATTTAAGAGGTATTTCACTCTTAATTAAATTAGGGTGAAAAGATTTAAAGGTAGTTCACTAACGCCAGTCCCCCGCCCTAGTGAAAGTTTAAAGGAAGAGCAAGTTTGCTCTTAAGGAACATGTGGATGAATCACTTAGACATCACATGAAGTTTAAAGGAGGAGTATGATATACTCTTAAGGTTTATGGGGTTGAATCGATTACTCCCATAAAAAGGTTTAAGGAAAGGTCTTTATTGGCCCTCATACGTATGAGCTGGGCGGCTGGACTAGTTAGTGAGGGGATCCCAGTGTCGGTCAAATGTTTAATATTTTTGAGGGTGGCGAGTAACAACAACTCCCACGTTTTTAAGGGTAAAAATATAAAGGGTGGAAGTATGAACAACTTCCACAAGTTTTGAGGTGAACACTTAAGGGAACACCCGTAAGTGCTTCAAGTTTAAGTAATGGCGTAGACTGACCCCAACCCACTCACCAGGTCGTAGAGGAGGAGCTAGGGAACATCCAGTCGAGGAGCATCCAGTGAGAGAGCAGGCTACCCGAGGAGGACCA